TTACTCACACCAACCCGAGCAGGTTTAGATTTACAGTTGTCCTTCTCTCACACGATTGGATAACCAAGGCTAAGAGCCTAGTCAGAACTACTATTTAACACGTACCCAGAGGAAAAAGTATTGATTCATACCATTCCCAAAAGTATTTTCACGAAAGTAAATGCAAATGATTCGAGTTGATCTCGAACTCGGCTCACCTATTTCTCACTTCGATGAACGGGTATTCTCTCAGGGAGTCCCCGTTCTTTGAGTGTCTACTTAAACAAACTCAATCCCCAAACCTCTAGCGCATCTCTTGCAAATGATCCATCGCTAAAGAAGCTGGGGAAATCGTCCGTTCCCTGCACCGTAACTGACCCCCTCCTGCTATCTTCTAATGTAAACGGAGCCAAATCAGTCCGGGAATTGAGTACTGCCAAGTATTCACTTACAACTCTCGATAGAGTAAAAAAAAGCGTCTCCGCGACCTTTTGGGTGACGAATTATTTTCGACCCGTCAATCAGTTTCTCACATACTAAATGTCACAAGTTTCTCCCTGCACTATCGCTATTTCCATGGAATGTGTTCAAACGAACAACATTGGTTAATTCCACCAGTTCTTATCTTCATGGCTAAGACCCTCTATAGCACGCAAATTGTAGAGAACCACACCCATTCCCTTCGTATTCCATTGATGAGATGTAATTCCCACTCGAGTAGTTTCTTTCCACAAATCGCTGCGATGTGTAATCCTTGACCAAATCGCAGCGATCTTAACCTGTTCAAGTCCAGGGTTAACCATTATCTTCCCATCAAATCCCCATAAACTGTGCCGCTTACTCTGTAACCCTCTACCTCGAGTTGCTCTTGTGCCTTGTACATGGTCAACAACATTGTAAACAAAAAAAAAAAAAAGAAAGAAAACACTGCTTTGGTAATGGTTCTCCGATCACTGAAATCTTATCCTGTTCAAGCCTTGGGTTGACTGTTATCTTACCCCCATATCCCCGTAAACTGTACCTCTTATTCTGTAAACTTCTACCTCGAGTTGCTCTTGTGCTTTGTACATGGTCAACAACATTGTAAAAATGTTACACTCTTGCCATTTCTATTTTCAGGTTCGTATATCTTGAATGGTTGTCAAATTCTATTTCGGATTTGTTTTTATCAAATCGATGAAACTAAGTGAGTTTTATTATAACAACATCAACAACATCAACAACAACAACAATAATAATAATAATAATAATAAGAGCCTGGCACTTCAGTCCAAGTTTTATAATTAACTTTGAAGGTTTTCTTTCCCTCTTTTCATTATGAATGTTTTTTTTTATTAAACTTTTTCACGAAACGCTAATATGTAGCGCCAGATAATGTATAAAATGTTTCCTGTCAGAATGACGACATTCCCATACTATGTGACTAGCGATGATAACTAATTAACACTTTCCTAATTAAGGAGAGATTAAAAGAGCGTTTGTGCTTTTTTTTTCAAAATGAATGCAAATAAAATTATACCACCTGTTTCTGAAAGACTACCTTAAATCAGGTAATTATCTATTTTAAATTGAAATTCCAAAAATCATTTAATAATGAATTAAACTTATGTTGTAGACTTTATTATGGCAATCAAAAGTGACATTTTTCATTTGAGTGAGAGGAAAATGAAAGAAAGAAAATGCATATTTCCCGTAAAAGGTAATAAAAAAACAAGTGAGCGCAAGTAGAGGAAATGACTTTTAGGTTTGTTATATATATATATAGATAGATAGATAGATAGATAGATTGGTAACTTATTTATATAACTATATATTCTATCTTTGATTAAAAGATTAATAGATTCAAGGTTGCCTTGAATAAAATGGATATAATCCGATTTGCACCAAAATTTACATGCACATGCTCCAAGTTAGCAGGAAGGCCAAAACCAACTTTGCATTTCCCAACTTCCATCGATAGTCGAAATAACCGATTTTTTCATGCTTCTACGGCAGTTTTCATGTAGTTTGCGGCCATTTTGTACTGGCCAGAGTGGCTGCCACGAATAGGCAGGAAGATTCTATTGGCCAGCGTGAGAGCCAACAGCTGACTGGCACGAATGTTAACTAGCATGCTAGCATGCAAAAAAATCGATAGCTGTGTTCGTTACAAGTGGAAAAAATGTAAATCTGCATGGCACTTTACTCCAATTGGCTCATTCGCTTACTTAAACTCAACGTTGATCATAATTCCGCAGAATTGGGTTGGGTGTGAAAAAGTATTTGTTGCTAACATTCTTTTTTTATTCGGTTTTTCCAGTTACGAGTCCTTTTTTTTAAAGCTGATCGTTTTGTGTTCATTTTGTTTAGTTCTTTTTTCGTAACAGATTTAATGTTTAGTATAGAGCTTAGAAAAAATTCGCAGTATGAGATAGGCAAAATGTAAGGCATGTAGCAACATCAACACGGCAAAGGGCACTCCTTTAAAGGCAGGGAAGGGCAAAAATATTTTAAGTCAAGTGATAGCGATTGCTGCATGAGTCGTACGATTTTGAATCAAGCACGGGCAACGCCGGGCCGTGCTGCTAGTACTGTAATATGGCTGTTATGTCTTAATATTATCTCTTTGTGATATATTTGCATATATTATTAACGTATTGATATAATTATATATCATATCATTAATTAGAAGAATTCTCCGAGTTGCTAGAGCACTTTGAATAAAATGGATCTACTATGGAAATGTGATCTACTAGACAACCTCAAACGGATTTTTTTTCGAGCCACTGTGGATGAGGTGTTAATGTATGGTACCATTGCCAGGGCATTACAGTGTTACTGAGTCAGCTTCCCCTTTAAAAGCACATCCTATATCGTTGTTTCAGCACAACCTTAGCTTCAGGAAATCTATAGTCACATGCCTGTCTCTTGTTGAGCCATCTTCCCCTTCAAAATCACAACCTCCATCTTTGTTTCAACAAATCTTTAACTCCTGAAAATTTTTAGCCACTTGTCTGCATTGCGTTGAGTCAGCTTACCCTTCAAAATCGCATCCTCCATTTTTTTTCAGCAAAACAGTTAACCATTATTTTAATGTAAAAAAAAAAAATAGTTAATGATCAACTGCAATGATATGTCAAGTCAGCTTACACTCATGTTATTAAGATGGGACAATTCTTACTTAGAAATTTGCATATTATCATGACTTTATCAACTCAGATGTTTTACTGTCCCAATATTTTTGCATGACCCCTTTTCAACTTCAAGCTGCTTAAAGAGGTATATCCTCTCTTACACGGCACCTACGAAAACGCAGTAACTAATTATCCAATTCTCAGACACTTTTGATAAACAATCTTATCTTCTTAATAAAGAAAAGGTGTATAATAATTTTATGCAACAGTTACGTGTTGCACACGAGTGGACATTAAGAAAAGCGAGCAAACTTGGACCTTCGTGCCCAGAAAAATTTTTTTTTTTTTTTTCTATCGAGAACGCCATTATTCTACCTTTACTGAACGGTAATATTCATTATTTTAAAAAACGATGATTACAATTGTAATAAAAGCTAAACATATAATGAAAGTGATTATATACATTTTCTTTGTTCTTGAGAATTCACACAGAAATAATAAACACGGCTTATTTATTAGATTATTTAATTACAACATTTATTATATTGTTTATTGGAATGGTTGGCAAGACATCGGCTATTTTTCAATCAATTCGAACTTTATAAAATGGTAAATAATAACGATTTCTTTATAGTTAATTCACATATCTTAATAATTTAGTAAACTTTATAAATATGAGTAATAAATTGATTTCATATTTATTTCTCTATAAATTGGTAAATGATAAATATTGCCTTGCGTTAGTTTTAATTGTATTACTTTTTAAAATGTTCTAAATATGAACTTATTCTTATAAATAAATAATCTAATAAATAAATAGTGTTTAACATTTTTGTTGTACATTCCCAAGAATAAACCGAAATTTATAAATTAAATTTCCTCATATATTTATGTTTCATTACAATTCTAATAAAGCAATAATTATTGCCGAGGAGTGAAGGTAATTAAAATAGTAGCGGCGTCGATGGAAAAACCGTTCTTTTGACACTTCATTTATCCAGGTTTGCCGAAAACTGGTATAATGACTCGTATCCTATCGCTTCAGAAGTTTGCGTTGCTTGAGTCTGCAAATATTCTAAGTTGCTATCTGTTTGAGTTTGTAGCACTTGATGGAGAACATCGATGCTGTAATCTCTCCGGTTGAAAACGAAAAAAGCATGTGGAAAGGGAAATAATAATAATAATAATAATAATAATAATAATATGCTATGAAACATTCGGGAAGTCAAGAATCCTTAGTAGGCTAAAGATTCGTCACTCAAGATAGAAAGAAAAGTTAAAGAAAATCGGGGGAGAGAGAAGAGGAGAACAAAAATTAGGGAAATAAAAAAGTAAAAAAAAAGTATTAGAAGTAAAAGGTAAAGGAGTGGCAGGAACATGAGGAGAGGGACAAGAATAAAACATCGCTTCTCAAAAAAAAGAAAAAAAGAGTGAGAAAGAAAGAGAAAGAATAATTTAAAAGATCACAAAACAATATAAATCATCTAAAATCTGCCATTTTTGTCCAACGCTACCCTTGCCACCTCACCGACGTAATCCCTTTGAGCGTCCAAGAAGCAATGCATAATTAAAACCCATGTCTCCCCATATTCCGTTTTATAGCCACACACAACGACAGACTAGTAGCTACCTTTGTTTGCTTCTTCGTTTGTAATGCTTTCATCTTACAACCGATTCTACATTTTATGATCCATTTTTTTTCTTATCTTTCTCTTTGCACATTTGCAGTTTTTCATTTTTGTTTGTTTTCCTTTTTTTCAGTTTTCTAAATTTATTTTCATGTAATTTCATTTCTTCGTTGATTTGAAAATCGGCTTCGGTTCGTTGATTTCGACATATGTTTTCGTTATATTAGGGGACGGACATTACCATGTTCCGAGACCCGCCCTATATTTCCCTGTTCGGTCTATGATTCTTTCTTTAGTTGCCACTCCCTTTCTACTGCTCTTTTTTTTTTCTTCTTTAACCTTCCTTATATACTTGTGTTAATTTATTTCTTCTTCGCCAGTTTATGTCTGCGTGTGGATGCATGACAGAGTGTTATTTTGATTTTTGAATAGTACAGTTTCCTTACATTATTTTTAGTCAAATCTCTTTCGCATCCTTTGTCTCTTTCCTTCTTTCTTTTTTTTATTTCCTTTTTTTATCATTCATCTCTTTCTTTTTGAAATTTGTCATCTGTTTCTTTCATCCTCCTTTTCTTTTTTGCGATTTTCTACTTCTTTCTTTTTTTCTTTCTTTCTTTCTTTCTTTCTTTCTTTCTTTCTTTCTTTCTTTCGGTTTTTTTAATATTTTTCTTGTTCTCTCGTCCACCCTTTCTTTCTTTTATCATCTGTTTATTTATTTTTTTTTGTGATTTCTTCCAATTCTTGCATCTTTTATTCTTTCCTGTTTATTGTCTTTCTTTTTTGTTATTCTGTGATTTTTTCTAGTTATTTTTTACTTTCTTTCGTTTTTCGTTTCTTTTGTTTTTGTTCGTCTTTTTCTTTCTTCGGCTCTTTGTTGTCATTCTATGAATTTTTCTCATTCTTTCTTTCTATCTTTCTTTCTTTGTTTCTTTCTGCCTCTCTTTCTTGTGGCGATTACTTTCTTTTTTTTCTACTCTTTCTAGTTTTTTTTCTTCCTTTCTTTCTTTTTTTTCTTCTTTTCTTTATTTTTTCTTTAATAATTTCTATAAGGACTTTCTTGACTACTTTTCCGATATCTGTTTCTTTCATTGGGATTTTTCTTGTTTTCCAGTTCACTTTTTTATCACTGTCTTTATCTTCTTCTTTTTTGTGATTGTTTCACTTTTTCCTTAAATATTTTTATTCTTTCAGTCCTCTCTATCTTTTCGGGATTTAATATCGTTCTTTCTTTTTCTTCAGTCCTTATTTGTTTCTTTCTTTTTTGTGATTTCTTTCTCTCTATTTTTCTTTCTTTCTTTCTTTCTTTCTTTCTTTCTTTCTAAATCTTCCTCTCATTAATGGTTGAAGATTTTTAATCAACCTGCATAATAGAAGCAACAAAAAAGAATTAAACTTCTAAAATCAAGCATTTTTCAAAATTGTAGTATTTTGTATTGACAAGCACGTTGTCATTCGTGTATGAGGATATATTACAAACAAGACTAACACCTCTCCTCCTCTTCCTCCTGGTTCTTCTTCTTCTTCTTCTTCTTCTACTACTACTACTACTACTACTACTTCTTCTTAATTATTCTTCTTCTTCTATGTGCTATGTCCCATCAGGACTATGCTGATAAGGACTCTCAACAGCCTGTTGTTCTCTGTATCTTTTTTTAAATGTTGTGTCTTCGACTAAACTCTGATCTTTCACTCATTTACACAAGCTCGTTATATAGATGCTTTTCTCTGTTTATCATGTCTTCAATATGCCCTGTGAGTGTCAAATTTTCCAAGCCGTTTTCCCTCATTATGTTCCCTAGAAAATTCATATCTCTCTTTCTAATAAGTATAATTTTTTTATTCCATTTTCTTTAAAACTTTGTCGTTACTTACATGTTCAATCCATGATATTCTCAGCATTATTCTGTAGAACCACATTTATGTTAGCTCAAGTCTTTTCTTCATTTGTTTAGAGATTGACCAGCATTTATTACCATATATAGGAGGACATATGTTCAGATAGTTCAGCACTACTCCTCTGTTTCTAACGAATTATTCCTATTATTAAAACTTTGCTTCTAAATAATAAATAATAAGTAAATTGTGCATTCGGATTTCACGTTCCTACTTCTGCTAGAACAATAAAGCAAGTTCGAAATTTTATATATCTAGATATATAAAATTTCGTACCTGCTGGATTTTGTTAGTTCGCATCTTGGGACATTCCTCTTGCTGGCAATCATTTCTTCTGTCTTCTTAAAATTGATTGTTAGTCTTTCCATCTATGTTAGCTGACTTTTCGATAAAAAATGTTAGATGTGAGAGACCTCTTTTCTCTCAGTAATATTTGAAGTAATGTATGACATAATACATTTTTAACAGATTGTCAATGCATTTCTGCCATAAATATTTATTCATTCAATATATCTCTATTGTCTCTAATGCTTGAATTAATTCCTAAACCCTGACAATCAACTTACTGATTAAAATGACATATTTATCTTAATTATATTTATCTCTATCTATAAAATTATCGCCTGTCTGTCTGTTTGTTATCGAACTTTTCCTATGGTTTTGGAGATATACACCTATAACCATATATATTCTGAAACTACATTAACTACTTGAATAACTATATTTCATTTTGATCAAATGGTTCCAGGGGCGTCACAGCCCCCCTCCACACACACACACACACACACACACACATACACACACACACACTTACTTTTTTTTTCATTTCATTTAAATCAAATTTAAATTTGAACAAGGAAATGACTCCTAGAGTACTTGGATATGTATATTATATTTTGATCAAAGGGGATCCGCGGGGGTTACCCCCCCCCACTACTGAGAATCTTTTCCCGTGGATTTAAATTTAATCTAGATTTGAACAAGGGAATGAAAACTATCCAAAATATGAAAAGTAAGCCAAAAGATGGACGTCACATCGGCAAGATCCTCATAAATATAGCACATTTTAAGACTATATTTCTTCATATATATATATATATATATATATATATATATATGTGTGTGTGTGTGTGTGTATGTGTATATATATATATATATATATATATATATATATATATATATATATATATATATGAATAAATCTTAAAATAGAATATCAATTGAGGGAAAGTTCTAGAAGTCGCGTCAATCAATGAAACTGTCTGATACTGAAGTCGGTTTAAAACTCAGTATCATTCAAATGCGTGATAGCTATGAAGGATTATCGGCGGTCGATTCGAAGGCGTTTTCTCAGAGAATTGACGACGATGAGCTGGAGGTTGCGGGATCTCAGCAGCGTGACGAGAACAACAACAAAGAAGGGCTGGTCAAACGATTTCTGAAAAATATGACTTCCCTTCCTTCAGTTTGGCAAAAAGTTAAGTCATTTCTGCCAGACTACCTTTTACATTACCGCCATTTTGAGCTTGTACGCTAAGAATTTTTTTTTCTTTTTCTCCTAAATGTCTTTTCATATCAGCGTGGCTTCACTCTAATATGAATAATTTCTTAAAAATAAAAAAAGTAGATGTGAACTATATATTATGTATTTTTTTTTTTATTTTGTAAACATTATTTGCCTAATTTTTTCAATATATATATATATTATATATATATATATATATATATATATATATATATATATATATATATATATAGGTTAGCTCTGCTTGTGTGTCGCATCTCGATACTGGCATTTATATGCACTGTCGCAGTTTTCTTTTCCCCATTTTATCATCTTTATCGTGTTGTCATTTTCTTTGCAATTCTTCAACTTTCATATTACTCTTTTTGATCTTTTTTTTCTTAAACGTTTTTTTTACACTGTTTATTTGCTTCAACCTCGTTCTGAATATTTATTTTCGTTTAGATGTGAATATCTCAGAGTTGATCCAATGTAATTGTCAAGATCAGTTTTTATTTCAGTTACATTGCTTGTCATATCCAGCCCGGAAATTTCTGCTGCAAATATATCGCATGAAACAGCACATTAAATATTGATAAATACCTAAATTTATACTAATTGTGTCTGTGATACGGTTGAGGTTTATTTTGTTTTAGATTTTTAGAATGGCTTCGTATGAATAGGATATGTATTTTTGTAAAAAAAAATCAGTTTGTAGGAGATCACATTTCTTTGGCGGTTTTTTGTAAAGAGGGTTTGAATAAAAGTTTTAATAATTAACCCATAGCTGGGGAAAGATGAGGTGGATCCATACATTTCCCAAGTGTATTTGCGCGTAAGTGAATATACCGAACCCAGCTGGGACTGGAACTCTGCGCACATCCATGTTTACAGCACCTTGTATATTTAAGCGGTCATCCGTCTAGGTACTGACCAGGCTCGACATTGCTTAACTTCTGTCATAGAACGGGAACCGGTGTTTCAACCTCATGTGGCCGTAGCACTGTAATTATATAGTGATTTTGGAAGCGTAGCTCAGATGTGGCACAAGGTTGAAAGTGTGGGGTACCCAGTGAGGATCGAACTCAGTCGTAAAGGTTCTCACGGGACAAGCTTGCTAACCATTACAGCACTGTAATTATATATAATATATTTCAGCAATTAATAGATTTGTTAAAGATTCGACATTATTTCTTAATTCTCTAAACATTATATTTACTATGTAAATCCTAAAGTGTAATTAACTAAAGTGTAATTAACATCACCCGGCCTATGTATCGAAAGTATTTTTCTTTTTTTTTTCTTCTTTTTTAAGCATTACACCCCGAGCAAGGCGTGAAGCCACTAGGATGCAGGGGGTTGCAGAAGATTTGGAGCGAGAGCAGATAGGAGTGATAGAAGAAAGGATGAGGAGAGGGATAGTGGGTAGATCAAGGTAACTGGAGGTGTCGATTGACATTACATTTGAATAGTTGGAGATTATAGCTCTCAGGGAAACAGTAATTGGGAAGAGTGTTCCACAGGCGAGAGGTGCGAGGTATGAAGCTATTGGAGTAGAAGAGACGGCTACATTTAAAAGTTTCTACAGTGTAAGGGTGGGAGCGGGATGCCAGCCTCGTAGGGCGCTTGAATTCATGGAGTCTGGAAACCAGTGAAAGCAGCTCATCAGAGCAATTACCATGAAAGTATTTGTAGAAAAGACAGAGAGAGGCGACGGCGCGTCTGTGAGAGAGTGACTGTTGATGAGATGCCAGATCTTATTAAAGAAAATATATCTCTCAATAGAAATCGAACTACCATTCCCTTTACTCTAGGAAATCACCTTCAAGCTAAGCGTGCTCTACGACTATGCTATTTCAGGAAGAAGAAAACAACTTAAAGAAAGTAAATGAATCTTTTATTTATTTACTCATTCATTTATTTTGCTGTAATGACTACTCGTAGATTAGTATTAAACCGCACCCAGCTTGAACTTGGGAAGATTTTTTTTAATAAGTGTATTTATCTTTAAGCTATATATATATATATATATATATATATATATATATATATATATATATATATATATATATGTATGTATATATAAGTGATAGAAATTATAAGGAGGACTTGAGTTAATTATAATTAAGTAATTCATCGAATCTAGAAGAATCCTCAACAGAATTCAGAAAACACTGGACGGTCGTTTCTTCTGATGTTTCGGACTCATCAGCAGTGCGCATTCACTACCGAGAATTGAAACCCGGCCAGTTACGTTATCAGGCAAACGTCACACCAACTGTACCAACGGGCCTCGAAGAGGTAGCGAATTTGACTCGATATCGCGCTGCTCGATCACATATGGTGGAACATCCTAATTTCCCTTGTCCATAAGTTTTCTTCCCGATGCCAGTGGAACTGATAATGAGGCATCTATGCTGACTAAATAGGTAATCAAAGATGCGATAAAAATTGTCTTAAACAGAAAATCAACATCCACTTCCAAGTATTCCATGAAACAGGATTTCGGATATGCTTTTCCAAAATAGAAATTATGATCTGGAATTGTAATGGAAAAAGTAATCGCACCTACGAGGAATTCATCATAAAAATTCAAGATGTGGATTTATTAAATACCAAACACTTCAAAATTGAACATAGAACAGGTTGCCTTGGAGCTACACCGCAAATTGGTTACCCAATAAATTGCCCAACACCGCAAATTGGTTACCCAATAGATTTCCTAACACCGCAAATTGGTTACCCAATAGATTTCCTAACACCGCAAATTGGTTACCCAATAGATTGCACAACACCGCAAATTGGTTACCCAACAGATTGCCCAACACTGCAAATTGGTTACCCAAAAGACTACTCAAAACCGAAATTTTCTACAAATCCAAAAAATTAACTTGAAATCTAGTCATTTTCTCAAGTAGCTTCGCCAGAGTGAGACATTTCT